TAGTTTAGTTGAGTTTTACTAGTCTTAGTTAAGAGTGTTAAACTGGAATACGTTTGACGTGGAGCTGAATGATTTTTGTTAATAAAATCTTATATTTTGAACAGAAGTTGTGGTGAATTTATTCCATGTATGTGCAGAAATAACTGTTTGACCATGATTAGTGCTCGAATCACTCTTTCATCTATTGTTCTAACACACAGTTAGTAGGACTGTGTGTAGTTTTTCCACCTGATTTTTCATATTATCTCAACAGAGAGGAAGTGCTGAGGTTATGAAGAGCTGCGGTATCCCAGCCCCTCCCTGCTAGTTCTACAGATTGAATGATGACTGGAGGAGAAGAGCCCGCTGAACTTTTTCCCCTGGCTTTGGTTTTTCCCAACGGGCAGCAACACTCGCACCACTGCGCTCTGAAACGTAAGGAGGTCAGGTAAATGGGAATACTGCGGCTACTGCAAGAGGACGGCTTGTAGGATGATGGTTGCCCAGAGGAGCAAAAAGAGCTAATACACCTGCCCATATTTGCTAAAGGTAACATTTTAATCAAAAGTTAACTGATTACAGATTATGCCAGAGATCAACTGACATCAGAAAGCACTTCATTTTCCCCCCTTTCTCTTTTTTTAAATCAGACATTTCAGAAATAGAGCTGTAGTCAGCCAGTAAAATTTTCACTCCAAGGTGTATTTTTACCAGTTAACTGTGTCATACCACTACTTGAGTGTTATATTTTCATTGTTTGCAACGACAGGGCCTGCTAACCTGTTTCACAAGCCTTTTTCACAGCTTATACAGCTGCACAGATTTTTTTATTTGTTTTCATAACAGAAAGGAAAAAATATATATTTGGTTTGAAAGTATGGGGAGATTTTATTTTAAAGCCATACCACCCTGTCCCAATGAAATAAAAATATTTTGGGGTGGTTTTACACCTGTGAATCCGAATGTTTTAAAGGCAGTAAATTGCAAAGTGCTTTGTATTGCCTCTCTTTTAGCCCTCTCATACTGCCCAGCCCACCTGGCAGGTTATCTGCTGCAGGATTGCAGAGCGTCCAAGTGTAGCAAGGCCAGCTGATGGGGCAGAAGCCATAATTACACAGACAGATTGGATGTCTGCCTGAGAAACGGGATTTGGGATGGACTACAACTGTTCACTTTGATTGCACAGGCAGCAAAAGGAATAATTATTGCACTTTATACTTGATAGTAAAAGCAAAGAAAAAAATACGGAAAGCTCTTAACAAACTGAACAATATGCTGAAAGGGAAACATATGTGGTAGGAATGGATACAAACATAATACCCGTAGATGTCCATGAGAGGAAAAAGTTAGAGAGCCTTTCATCAAATGCCGAAGCGAAGCTAAACCCAACTGACCCAGTCATTTTCCACCAAACCTTTCAAAGCAAGCCATTTACTTTCAGCACCGCATGCCTGCCACAGCATGGAAGTGATGCCCTGAACAAAGTGTCATAGGTCCAGATGGTGTCCTGTCAGCTACTGTTCAAAAAACAGCCATTAGCCATCATCCTTTTTGAACCATAACAGCAAGAAACAAGCTTTGAGGGAAGAAAATGTCACTGAAATCTAAACAGTCCAACAATTTCAGATAAAGTCTAGCAGTTATTATCTCCAGGCTTCTATTCGCTCTCTTGACAGATTTGTCAGAAAACATAAGACTTTGAACTTCTCCAAATTTTAAATAAGACTCTCACCTCTTATAACGTCCAGATCCAGCTCTTGGGGTTTCCTGCAAAACAAATGGAAAGAATTATCTCTTATTTGCATAAACAATGCATTAGCAGAAAAACATCAGAGTTGGTTTCATCTGCCTTAGGTTGTTTTAGCTCAACATGAGAACAACAACAACATCCAGAGAAAGAAAATAAATTCAACAGGAGGAGCATTTAGAAGTAGCCTTAAGGTTGTGTATGAAAGTTCAAAAGCAGCATCTGCTGAGCTGATATAGATGGGCTTTGTTTCATTTCATAGTTCAACAGGAACTCTGTAGCCTCAAGTTGGAAAAGGCAATCTTTTTCTGAAACATGGAAGTGGAAGTTGTTTTTCTTATTTTCTCCCTATCATTTTATCGTCTAAAAAAGATCTAAAGATTGTTTAGATCTATTTTGCAGTGAGTGGCATTGCCTTCAGGAAAACCACGCTTCTGAGAAAATGAAGTGTGTGTCACCAGTTCGGAGAGATAAATACGGATCTCCTTTTTCCTGAGGTTCTGGGTAGTGAAGGGTCCTAAGGTTGATTGAAGAGCTATGGGACTGCTGGGCTCCATCAGTCAGAGTTTTTTTTTTTTTTTGCTTCACCCTTCTGCATGCAGCCATCTTGGAGAATGACACACCGTGCGATACCTGCAGTCGGATTGTGACCTTCATCTCTGAGATATGAAAGGATGAAGGTCAGTAAAGTGTGATTCTTGCAAGATTTCAGTACATTTCCAGCAGAAACATGAATTTAGGCAGAAATGGGTCAAATTTAAAACAAAAATAAATTTGGATGTACAGCTCCTACACCCTAAAAAATGACAAAGTTAGAAGTATTTAACTAACTCCTGACCTTACTCTTAATTCATAGGAAATGTCTGAACTGGAAGACAAAAGATTATTCTATTTTTTTTCACTTTTTTATATTTGCATCCACAAAACACATCTACAGACTGTTTACCTCAATCAAAAAGACCGATTTAAATAAATATGCCACCTAAATGTGTGTTTACTCCCGTGCCTCCGCACAATGGCATATGTTGAATAAAGTATGAGAAATCTGTGAAGGGAAATAAATTCTTCCTGATCTGAGCTTGATGTGTCATGGCTTCCATTAGCAATCAAACTGCTGCTGCGCCCGTGCTTTAAAGCTCATTGGAAGCAGAGCAACACAGGCAATACAACACAGAAATACATCCCCCAATAACGGAATGAATACATAACAAGAGTAAACACACAAAGCCATCTGTGCATTTAATCAAAACCTCAAACATACTTAATTATTCATGATTCTAACTGGATAAATCTTCTAAGCTCCTCTTTTTATGTGCATTTCTAAAATCTACTGGAAACATGGAAGCAAGATTAAGGAGATTAAAATTATAAGAAGGCAGTTAGTCTTGTTCTCTCAACAAAGACTGGTTGGTGTGAGTCCCGCAGCCCTTAAAACGCCATCAAAATGTCCCACTTTCCCATATTTAAGATACCAGACTTCCAAGTGTGAAGTCCTAAGTTTAGTACTTTAATTATTCAGAAATATTTTCCTTTGATTTCAGCTTATTAATTTGAATCTAAAAACTGACAAAAGGAGGAGAGCTAAACATTAAACAGATTGATGGGTGAGAAGACAAATAGATTAAATGATTGATCCAACATTTAGACATTAACAGTGGGGGAAAATATGTTGTTCATTGTTACCCAATACTTTATCTAGACACAAATATCTAGGTACAAATAATGAAATTCTAAACTTCTTTAAAATATGAAGGAAATCTGTGAATATACGCTGCTCATAAAAATAAAGGGAACACTCAAAGCATCCTTTGTTCTGTAGAAAGTCGAATCTGCTGACAACCAAATCAAACATAAATATATTATTTGATGTAATGACTTTAAAATAGGTCAAAATGAGGCTCAGTATTGTGTGTGGCCTCCACGGGCTTGTATGACCTCCCTACAACACCCAGGCATGCTCCATGATGCGGTGGTAGATGGTGTCCTGAGGGATCTCCTCCCAGAACTAAACTAAAGCATTCACCAACTCCTGAACAGCCTGTGGTGCAACGTGACTCTCGTAGATGGATTGAGACATGATGTCCCACATCTTCTCAATCAGAATCAGGTCTGGGGAACGAACGAACCACTCTATAGCTTCAATGCCTTCATCTTATGAGGAACCCAGTGCCAAACGCACTGGCCGATGGTCTCTCAGGGGTCTGAGGATCTCATCTTTTTACCTAATGGCAGTCATGCCAACTCTGGTGAGCACATGGAGGACTGTTCCTCCAAAGAAATGGCACGCCGCACTATTACTGACCCACTGTCCAGCTGGTCATGCTAAAGGATGTTGCAGGCAGCAGATGCCTCTCCATAGTGTCTTCAGACTCATGTGCTCAGTGTGAACCTGCTTTCATCTATGAAGAGCACAGGGTGCCAGTGGTGAATTTGCCAATCCTGGTGTTCTCTGGCAAATGCCAATCGTCCTACATGGTGTTGGGCTGTGAGCAAAACCCCCATCTGTGGACGTCAGGCCCTCAAACCATCCTCATGGAGTGGGTTTCTAACCGTTTGTGCAGAAACATGCACATTTGTGGCCTGCTGGAGGTCATTTTGCAGGGCTCTGGCAGTGCTCCTCCTGTTCCTCCTTGCTCAAAGGTGGAAGGTAGCGGTCCTGCTGCTGGGGCTTTGCCCTCCTACAGCCTCCGACACTACACTGACAGACAGAGCAAACCTTGCGACAGCTGGATGAACTCCACTACCTAAACCACTAGAGTGGGTTGTAGAGTCTGTCTCATGCTACCATGAGTGTGAAAGCACCAACACCATCTAAAAGGGACAAAACATTAGCCAGAAAGCATAGGTATTGAGAAGTGGTCAGTGGTTCCCACCTGCAGAACCACTTCTTTATTGAGCGTGTTTTGCTAATTGCTAATAATTACCACCTGTTTGCCTTTACTTTATACAACAGAAACAATTTTTTCATTTACAATTTTATTTTTCAACAAATATAGAATATATATCAAACTGCATCTAGAATCTGCAATTTAAATAGCTGATAAAAGCACTCCACTTCCATCTTGTGTTTAAAGTTTGTCACTCATCAGTTAATAATAAATAGGTCAGTTTTTCCTCATACCTTTTTGATCTGTGTTTAACATTACAAAATAAGTAATGAAAGTAAGTATAATTTGTGCTGATATTGGACCTGATTGGTCAATACTCAAAGCTATAATAACAGAATCGTGTCAGAAATGAAAAAGTTCATTTAGGGCGGCCCTAATGAAGAGCATTGCATAACCTAAACAGAAAGAAACAACCCTCCAAAATTCAATTTGCCGCATCATTAAACAGAGTTTCAGACACCTAAACACATCAGTTAGGTGTAGGAATTTAAGAGCAAAGGTTGGTCCATATGGAGCAGTAAGCCTCTGTTTATGCCAGTATGCTTCAGAGCTCAGACACAGAAATATCTGCAAAGTAATCTAATTTTTATAAGTGAACAATATTTTTTTAAAGCTTATCTCAGTTTTATAGAGTTTGTGCAGATCTCTGGTCAGGCTGGGTCATGTAAACTGGAATTAATATCAGGTTTGGACAGTCCATTTTAAGTCTAGATGGCTCAATATAAAATTATCTCAGCATTTATAGACTCTGCTTATAAGATAATTTGAACTATTGTGTTTTATGTCACCAAACAGGGATACATTTAGACTAGTACAAAGGATCTGCATTTTCTTCTTGATGCATCTAGCAATTCCGCAAAAAATAAAAAAATAAAGCATGTGGTCTTTTCAGGAAGAGCAAAGGTTCTGATCCTGGGAGACAAATGGAAAATGTGTTTTTTAAATGAAAACATTTTACTGACATTTACTCAACATTTAACTGGAACTATCAAGGTTAAATCTGATTCCTCTGTGCCTTACAGGCCTATTGTTAGACAGAATGGTTCTCACTACTCACACACTTTATTAAGATGCTGTCAGAGTTTGACACCAGCTGAAGAAAAAGATTTCAAAATGTCAATATTTGATGGAGTAAAGGTGGAAACGTGTCAAGTGTTCGTGGTAAGGGCACATTCAACCTTTGCTTTCATCTAGACTGATGCGTTCAATGCTTAAAGAAAATTATCTCCAAGTTCGCTTTCATCTTTTCATTTGAAATGCCTCCACTTTTTTTTTTTTTTTTTTTTTTAGAGCAAAAAAAGCATTTAGTATAAAACCATTTAATGCACATTTCTGTTGTCCCTTTAGGTAAACCATCCATTTATACCTAAGTTTTCTGACTACAAAAGTAAGCTCACATTTCAAACACTGTCTTATCTACAGTATTACCTTACTTGCATTATTACAGACAGAGATAAATACTTCAGCTGTGATCTGTGATGAAGAGGTGTTAATTTGATCACACATCCTTTCATATAGAAAAGGGAACCAAGGAAAAGAAGCTTCTGCCTTTGAAGGTGGCTAAACAATTCCCTGTTTTTTCTAAGATGTTCTGCGTCAGAACCCTGTGTGATAATTAAAGTAGGTGATGCTGGTAAAAGAGTTTATTCTAGGTGGTAATCCGTTTATCTGCTCCAGGTTGGGTGAGAGGGAGACAAACCTGCTGTCACATTGAAAGCAGATAATTTTAAGTTATGCTCCATATGTTAGAGCATTTAATTATGAAATTTCCCTTCCTGCAGGACTTGCTTGTTAAAAAGGACCACATGTCTGCAGAAGAATCGCAGAGCTAAAACATGAAAACACACGGATGCCAAAGAGTTTTCCATGCTCGTAAACATAAGTCGGCCCTTTTGTTATGAAAAGAAAATTTACGGCTTGTTTTGTTTGGAAGTAGTGCCCTGGAACTTGGAGAGAGATTTAACGATCAGATGCAGCTGAAAAGAATCTGAACCTGAGCTTCTTTTGAAGAGTTTTTCCTCCAGATATCTTCATACCAGCTAACAGGTGAAGACTGTATATCATAATGCTGCTGCCATGGCAATCACTTGTCTCTTTATGATACGAGGTGCTCGACAAGCACGTCTGATAGCTGTGAGGGGGAACCACAGTAAAAATGTATCCCTGCTGCTTATAGCGAAGGCTGTCAGAAACAAAAAACCCTGTTTTAAATGAGTGACAGAGAGAAAAGACTGGCAAGATCCTCCTCATCCACATCTGTTTTTCTGTAAGCGCATACATGGAGGTGAAAGATTCAATTTAGCAGGAATTCTGGTCACAGATTTTTAGTTTTCCATTTCAAACTGCAGTAATGTATGTAGCTTAATCCAGTCAGACAGTATTTATTCTTATAAACGATTAAAAAGCACCAATTTGACCATGAGTAATGATTTTAACTTTGGGTATCAATGCATGAAACATTAACACCAGTATAGTGTTTATATCTGAGTCTAAAGGCTTTAAAATTGGTGCAATAAACCCATTCAGCCTGTAATATATCATTTAGAAAAAAAGCTTTTGTAATGCCAAAATCGTAAAGAAAACCTTTTAACAAATCATCCAGTCATTTTGTAAAACCTAACAGAAGTGAATGGAATTTGCTGAAAATTTCTCTTTTAGATTTACTTTCAGTCAATTCTGGATGTCAGCTCACTCTTTATACCGACAGTAAGGAAAACCCTTATGCTTTTCATAAATACTCTAAGTTGCTTTGATGGTCTGACTGTTGACTATGCAATGGTAATCTACTATTGTACAGCAATGAAGTGCAGAGTTTAATTCCTTGAGTTTTTGGTTGATCATTTAAGATTATCCTGGGGCAAAAATAATTCTTGTAGAGCATCTGCTTCTGGTGAGGGAGGAAAAACAAAATCTGATCCATTTACATTTTGAGAAATCTCTGTTTCCTGTCAAAGACTTGCATCTTTTTTATGACAAACATCCATTCCATGATTACATTGAACCCTTCCAGCTGATATATTGGCTCCAGGAAGGTTTGGTAGCATCTAGTTGGGAGCACAACTACAAAGGTTTGTTTTTGGATCAGAAAATAAAAAAAATAAAAACAATGAAAAGGAAAAAATCAATATTGTGACGTTTGTCTTTCGTATTTCTCGGGCTCTAATATATATCTCTTCTAAACTAATCGACTGATGACGTCTCCTCTGCTAAATCAGATAAAAGCTGAACTTCATACCATTTGCTTCCTTTTTTCATCTGGGCAATATTGCAAAAATGAGAAATCTCCTGTCCAGGGGTGATGCGGAGAAAATAGTCCATGCATTTGTTACTTCAAGGCTGGACTATTGTAATTCTTTACTGCCAGGAAGTCCACAAACTGTAGCTAAAAGCCTTCAGCTGTGCTGCAGCCATTAAAACCTTTGTTTATAGGTGTTGGAGATCGGCCTGTTTCTTGGTGTGGTCCTGTTTCTCTGGCTGTGGCTGGCTGGATGTGCTCTCTTTGTCGTCAGGCATGGGAGCTGGCTCGGAGCTCGTCTGCCTGGCTGTGTGGACGGAGCCGCCTTTTACAGCTGTTTTTTGTATCTCTGCTTTTGTCTCCTTGAACCCCAGTCGGCCTCAGCAGATGGCCGCTCACATTGAGCCTGGTTCTGCTTCAGGTTCCTTCCTGTTAAAAGGGAGTTTTTCCTCTCCACTGTCGCTACAAGCATGCTTAGTGTGAGGGATTGCCTTCGAGTCAATGGGTCAATGCAATCAACTGGTTTTCCTTAGATAGAAAACTTTGAATCAATTTGACTGCATGATCTGGTGAACTGTAAAGTGCCTTGAGGTGACACATGTGAACTGGCACAATATAAATAAACTGAATTTAATTGAATTTGTTTACCAGTAACTTGGTAAATAGCCAAATGTTCTTTGTTTAGTTTTTTTTTTTTTTTTTTTATAAAGACCATGTCTCAGCAGGTGCCGTCACATTCTTCCTGTTAGCACGGTATTTGTGTACATATTTCATACACAAGTCTCTGCTTATGTAAACAACCTCAGACAGTTTCAGCCCAAAACAAAATAAGCCCACTGATGCAAAACATCCAACCCATCTGGAATATGACGACTATCTTCATCAACACCGAGTTCTCACACAGCGAAGATTTAACTGATTTATTTTTTTCCTGCTTGAAAAAAAAAAAGGTAATTTTCATGTCAGTCAGAAATAAAAAGCTAAATTAGTTTGTAGTCACTGCTACACAGCTGGATGACTCTCAGCCCCCTTCTGTGTTTGGATTTTTATTGGAAATCACTATTTGTTCATTTGAAGCTAATGTGAAAGAAGATGGTGGGTTTGTTTTTTTTAAACAAGCTGCACTAAAAAGAAGACTTAAATTATGAATATGTTTTTAATGAATTTGCTTTTGCTTTCATTTTTCAGAACACTTATCAAAGTTAATAGGAGGAAGTGCATTCTTTCTCTACAAAGGTTCCTTCTTCAACATAATAATCACACTGCTGCATGGCAAGCTTAGAAAAAAATCTCCACAAAGCAAACATATATAAAAAGAGGTGGTAATACAGTCTGAATGTAACTCAGAGAGGTAACATGTTTCATTTTTAAACACCTCCTCTTAAGGACATGCCTTCACCAAAAGTTAAACAGTTTTAGAGGCATTTTCAGTTCTTTCATTTCTCTTTTTACTTGTGTTCTCAGAAATGATGAAATGGTGAGACACCTTTGTGTTTTGCATCACTGCTTTATTCATTTTGCTCCCTGTGTCTCCCTGTGCAACAGTGCCTCTGTTTGGCAGGACTAAAGTACCAATCTGTGCAGCGTTCTGATCGCAGCAGGCTGGGGAAAGACATCACCAGTGTGTGTTTGAAGCTCCTACCACCAAGTAGCCAGTAGCTGGGTCAACTATCAGGGACTCGTTCTGGAAAGTGTTGGCCTGAACCAGCTCCTCTTCTTCCCTTCTGTCTTTTTCTCCTGCATCGTCATCATCCAGCTCATCTAGGCTCTGAAGGAGGAAAGGATAACAGAAGGAAACGGTTAATGCAGATGTTGGGAGAGGAAAAAGGAAACCTCAAAGCATATTAAAATAAACAAAAAGTAGAATGCACAAGCAGACATTAAAATGTTTTTCTGGCAATCCTTTCTGATCATCTTATAGCACAATTATTTTTACACACACAGGCTTTTCTAAAGCAATATTGGTGTAAATCCATCAAAATGACAGAATGACACTAAGAATATACATCCCTGCTGAAAACAGAAATAAAACATTTATTGCTTTAAACCTTAGAGAGAACTTAGGTACTTAGAATGCATTACTGCTCCTCTATTCCATCAGAAAAATGATTTGTTATTTTTCTCTGTGAAAAGTCGTGAATATAATTTTGAAATAAATTTCTTGAGAAAGCAAAAATACAGCCTTTATTCACACCAGCATATTTCAAGGCTTTAGTGTCAGAAAAGGCAGCATTGGTCTGAATATAAAGAGTATACATTCTGAAGATAGAGAGTTTTTAATCTTATTTTGTAGATAGTGTCCCAAAACTTTCATGTTTTTCAAGCATTTACAGTGATTTCAGTGACTTACTCTTTGCCAGAGTTTGTGCTTCTTTATCTAACGGCTTCTTTTTTCTAAGCTGTATAAAGACAAATCTGTTATTGCTATTGGTTTTAAGTCCTTTTCATGTCACTTTTATGAACAGATCCTCAGACAGAAGTTGTAAAAATAAAATCAATTTAGTGCTATTCATGTTTTCTTTATTATATGGGAATATACTTCTTGCTCAACCCAACTCTTTTAGCTGAGTGTTGAACAGGAGTCTTGCCAGGTTTTCACTGTATAACAGTTTTCTTACCGAATACATGCTGTGCATCTATGTTTAAAACCTCTTACACCCTAAGGGGGTATAAATAAATTTCTGCCTGACAAAAACACACAAAAGTGAATAACTTATAGCCTCAAAGCTATTAGATTTAAGAAGAAACTTTTGGTACATCTGTAAAGGTAAGATGTCATAGAATGGTTTTCTGGTGTCAGCACCATTGTAGCTTTGACCCTGCCTGAAATATTAGGGACAAAATACAAAATATTTTGCATTTTTTGAACCTCGCCAAAATTTTCTTTGAAATAAACATTGCAAAACACTACCAAAATATTATTTATAGCACAAAAAAGTAGTACAGACTTTCAAATCTAAATGTTGTGTAAAAATATACAAAATGTGGACTCAATCAGATGAATCATATTTATTTTAGAATGGTATTAGTGAGAAATTTCTTAGGCGGAGAGGCCATTTTGGAACATTTATCCATAAATGTCACCAAACTGTGCCAAATGTGTTTTTTACATCAATACTGGGGGTTTGGTAAAATTACGAGGTCATGTAGCAGCTGGACCCGCCGGTGGGTCCGTAGGGTTCAAGGGGTTAACTGTGTAACTTTTCTGAATCGAGATATTGAAAAGCTATATTTACCAACAAGTTTCTGCATTTTCCTAAAACAATACTTTTGATTTTGTGAACGCCTTTCTGAAATCACCAACCCATTAATATGTTTTAATTGTTTAGACCTTAGGTCTTCATCAAGGGTCTGCAACCCCTAGGGGGTCCAAGAAGGTACTGCATGGGGGTCGCAAAAGTTTTGGTTGGGTAGACTTTTTTTTTTTTTTTTTTTTTTATTCTCTGCAATTTTTTCCACTAATTAAAATGTCTTTAAATACATATTAACATGAATTAAACACACTGTAGTAAAAAGATAAATGGAGGCAGGAGATGTCTTTCAGTCATCAATGCCAGTGGCGGTTCTAGACCAAATGTACCAGGGGGCTAGGAGGGGGCCAGCGTGTTTTCATGGGGGAACAGAAAAACATGAAATAAAAAACAGGGCAAACGATTCAAATATACGAATATAGCTGCATGAAATTAAATTTCTGTTCAATTAGGTTTCATTAAAATGATATGTCCTCTTATGTCAATATACATTCAGAATTTAGGAATTTTTACATATTTTTGACTTTAAGTTAAAATTACCGGTTTCTATAAAATCTGAATTAGAACTCAAGAAAAACAGATAAATTCAGCTGTAAAAATTAGAGCCATTTGTTTTGAAAAAACATATAGCAGATGGGGATTGGGATCCTATCTCAATACCACTGAAGCTATCACCTTATTGTTTTTAAATAATTAGTAAAACAGAATTTGTAAAGAAGAAAAATGAAATAGATCCAAAGAACGTAACAGTAACAATCTCTGTTCCAGTGCATATCATCATTAGAATTTGGAGTATTATGTATTCAGTACAGGGGCCATAACAGGGGCCAGAACATGATCTATAGGGGGCACTGGCCCCGGTTGGCCCCTGTCTAGAACCACCCATTATCAATGCACACATTCAGAGACACAAAGGAGCTCTTTCAAGCTGGGCACCGTTTCATTCACAACACCTGTCCCATCAACCAGGAATCAGAAATATTTTAATAATCCCAGGGAGAAATTACTTTAGTTACATTAATCCATCTGTAATAGAGTGACTATAGGACCAGTTTGATAGAACACTATTTCATACAATATATATAATTAGGGGGTCCCCGCTCCATCGCCATCTGTTTGGGGGTCCTTGGCCTGGAAAATGTTGAAGACCCCTGGTTTAGAAAATAATTTTTAAATATTTCAGCATCTGGTGATACAGTTAATTAAATTCAAGATGGTCACATGACACTGGAAGATAATTCAGTCTACCAGAAAACAGATTTTTCATTTCTTTAAAGTGTCAAATAATGTTAAAGATTGTGAAAACCAGGAATCCACACTTCTTTCCTTAACTACTGATATCCATTCGCACAAATGTGAATGATTTCCGGTTTATGCCTTAATATTAATCTTCTCTCCTTTTAACCAGGGTGTTAATTTGGCTTCTTATCCCACAAAGCATGCCCACAGTGACTCTCAGGAACTGACAAATGACACTGTACCGACACAAGACAAACAGATTATTCTGAAGGGGACTTTTGCCTCTAAGGGATTTTTAATCAGAGGAATCTCCCTGTAAAAAAAATGAATAAACAGTGTATATAAACATGAAAAGAACAAACATCCTTTTGTAAGAAAAATAGAGGCTGAGCTAAAGCAATCTAGACAGATCTCAGATATTTTCTGGGAAACTCTCCAAATTCACTGTTGGTAATATGGATTATTTTCATTGTCTAGACATACTTGAAAGAACTCTGGCCCAATTCCATCTCTTTGGAGTCAAGAGTTAGTCAATAGTGCCACAAAGTCAGAGAGTTCATCTGTAGTGATGGGTGAAGACAGCCCACAAACAGAACTGGATTAGGATGGATGTGTAGATTGTGACAAGAGACTGAGATTAGGGCCAAACTCTTAGGACACAATTCAAACCAGGCTTTCCTGTTCCACACTGCAGGGCTTAACAAAAGATGCCTGCTCTAAAGGCCCCTCAGTCGTAAAAATAGCCTTACAAGGTTGACGAGGAATGCGGTCTTTTGCACGGCCTTTCCTGTCAAACAGTTTATCAGTTCTCCTTGGGGGAAATGCCAGCTATTTTACTCCTTAGCTGGTCTTATGCATGCACTGTAGTCTTGTAATGTCCTTGAGTGGTTCTAAAGAGGCGACACGTAGGAAAACAATAGTTCCTAGTTATTAAAGAGCAGAAAATATTCCATTAAGGCATTGGGTAAAGTGTCTCAAATATTAGAGTGGGTATAAATGTACAAACATGGCAACAAATCTGTATTTTTCCTCCTTTCCCCATGTTTCCATTCTCTCATTACTTTGGATACCATCAGATAAATGTGGTAATGATATAGTCCCAGAAGAACAGCCATCAAGGACTATAATCGATCATTTTTGGCATGTTAAGCAAGCTTTCTTGTTTCCAAACCATAATCTTTAAATCCATTCTTTTCTACGAAGCTGTTCTGCTCCATACTTTCCTGTACCAGAAAAATATCTAGTTTCTTTCAGCATTAAACAGCTTTGAAAGCTGTTTGTTAGCGAGTATTTCTATCTGAATCAGAATGTCCTTTACAGACATGTATTGCAGTTCTCAGATTTTGCAAAGAATATTTGTGGAAGTTTTCTTATTATACAGACAAATTTTCAGTGAATTTTTTCCCCCAAATATTGCAATCAACATAAAAGATTTTTCCTTTACAAATAATCTGTAATAACCCACCCTAATTCCTTTAGCGATGTCCATAACAGCCTAATATTTCCTTTAGAATGAGCATGAAGGAGACTTTTACATAAAATGATTTATTAGACATTAAGCTATTCTTTGATTCTTTTTATAAAACAATCAGCATCATGAAGCCCACACTTCACAGGCTTTAAGGTTATGAAAAACTTAAAGGCAGAGTAAACATAAACAATAAGCAAAATAAGCTCTAATTTAGGAAAAAGACAAAGCCCCACAATCATTCAGAAGAAGCTGCTGGGTTTTACAGCTCAGGTTGGAGAATCTGTTGGTAGGACAACTATTAGTGAAGCATTTTGTAAATAAGTCAGTAAAAATACCAATTCTAAGCTATGTAGAAAACAGAAAAATTGGAAAAAATCTCATGTGAGAGCAAAGTTCAAATTTAAAAATACTTTTAAGATACCATAACTATCTGCATCTCCAACAACTGCGTGGTTAAAACGGGTCCAAATGTAAAAATACTGAAAGCTTATGAAAACTTTTATAGGGGGATGTATTTATGTTATGTTTTTAAGCCTAAAAATTGCTTTGAAATAAAACCCCCACAATGTGGGAAACAGAACTTTTGGGGTCACCAAAAATAATTACATTAAACAGAAGTCTGGCTGTGTCAACACAGAGTGAACTGCACAGTGACCACCCCACTCTGCTATGCACAAACTTCCTTGAAATGTTGTATTGGGGACCTCAGGGTTTGTTTTGGATAGAAATGCAGATTTTTTTTTTTTTTTTTTTGCCCTGTAGTATTCCAAATTGCTTTGCATTTCCATCGATTCCAAATAAAGGAAA